AACGTTTTCATCTAATTTGAACAAAACCGTGATAATATTGATAATCGTGATAACTTCGGTCACTATAATCGTGATATGAAATTTTCATACCGTTACATCCCTAGTGGTGCCATATTTAAATCAGCACAACTTGCAATAACAATAATAATAAGCACAATGTTTACATTTGCAAGGCATTAAAAGTCCTATAGAAAAAGTCATAAAAATGACAAAAAGCTGAATAAACTATTCCTTTATATAGTTTTTGTTGACACTTCAGCTATAGATCCACACCTCAGTAAGGCCCTATAATAGCTTTGACTGAACTGGAGAATTGTTTACCCACTTGTTAACCTCTGTGCCTTGACAGGCACAAGGCCTTCCTGAATAAACAAAATGCTTTTAACAGTCGCCATCAGAAACAGCCCACTTGTGCATCTGTAAGAGTCCTTGACATTAACTTCTGACCTCACAAATGTCCAGGTGAACCATCCAATCAGTTTTCCATGGAAGTCAACTGATCTGTAGATTTGTATTTGGAAAATCACTTGTCATCAATCACTAGGAAGAAACTGAACCATCTATACTGTTGTGGAAACTAAAGTGCAAAACTTTTAAACCTTCTACATAGACACAAAACCATCAGCTAGTACTAAAGTTAGCATTTATTCTGTTATGTGGTTCAACTGACTTCCCTTGTGGGTGAAATTACAAAATTCATTTGGGTGCGAGTCACTGCTGGGTCCACTGCTCCTCACCAATACAGTTATCCAGTGAGCTAAATATTTATTGAGCAAAAGTTCTCTTTCTTTATTTTTATAATTTTATTTCCTTTAACACACATACTGTATAAATGTAATAAAATGGATATTTGTGCCACTTAAAAACAAAGTAAATAAAAAATATGCAATAGGGATCACTGGGCAAGAGCAGCATCTGTGTTTAACACTACTGTGTTTATTCTTAGCGGCAGTGTGCCTGTTCACTCACTGAAAATACTGGAACTAGTGATGCAAAAAACGGAAACTGAAGACATAGTTTCGGTACTAGGTGATAAATTAAACAAGTCCTAGTAAAGTTCTTTGGCAACGAGCTGCCTCTCAATATTTCAGCTGAAGAAATTTTACATATTGCTATTCGCATCATTTATAGTCTAAATGAAGTGTGACCATTTAGCCGAAACTGAAAATCTTTTTTTTTTTTTTCAGTTGCCAAAATTTCAGTGCATTGCTAATTAGAACTGCTTATAAAACATGTTTGCCACCCAGAGGAAAAACTGAGAACACTCAGTTAATCCTGGGTAAAGAAATGCATTCAAATTATTCATACGAGACTTTGTTAAAGTCAAGCCACTTTATGTGACCACATATAGCGGTAGGATTTCAGACTGGGATGAGAGACTGAGGAATGAGAGATGGAAAATAAATGAGACTCAATGAGAAAAGAGGATAACAATGGGAACTCTTACTGATGTAGAAGGTGCTGGGTGCTTCTGTGCCCTCATACTTCAGGTCCAGAAGACTGCTTGTTTTATTGTCATGACGAAGCCAGAGTGAAACCCCCAAGATTACACAACCAGCCAGCTATAAAAAAAAAAAACACAGAGAGAAAGAAAAGCTTTAAAACATTTGGTCGTACTGTTATTAATGGCACAAACGAAACCAGCTAGTTTTAAAGCTTTCACATATTTCAACAAATTTCTTCCTCATCTCGACTCTTAAAGTAGTGTGTGGATGCATTTTGTCAGTCTCCTTGCGTCTATTTCTTGTAGTCTGCTTATTTCCATTCAACAAAGAGAAAAGAGAGACACATTCTGTGAGGTGCGGGAGAGAGGGATCTTGTTACAGACCCCATCTAGGGGCCCACAGAGCCGAGGGTTAAGAATATCAAAACATCACTGTACGCCACAGCAGTATGGTTGAGTCCGCTTTTGTCTTCACATGGCTCACAGTGATAAGAATTCAGCTGAGTGAGGCTCATAAACACATGGCACATTCATGAGAGAGGGTGCTCACAGATTCTTGTGGCTAGGGGGAGTAAAAGATGGGAAAAAGAAAGAGGGCGTAGGCAGCTGAGAAGACCATTTAAAGTAGCGCTACAATGTGTGGTATTGTATGCATGAGTGGATAAGAAGCGGGAAAGTTTGGGGTGGGGGAGGGGCGGCTGCGTGACAAGCAGCAGGGTTATTTGGCTTTATTTATACCGCTTTATTTACAGTGAAATCACTGTCAAATCAGACAAGAGCTGGGCCCTGTGAGAGCAGCTGGATCTCGTCAGGAATGCGTAGGCTCTGTGGAGAAATGCAGTGCGCAGATAAAGAGCACTAGTGACCACAAAGAACCTGGTTGGTGGGTGCCGTTAGAAGCAAAAGAGATCCGGCTACACCGCACAGGGGAGAGTACCGGGAATGTGATACAGAGCAAAGAACATTAGAATGCTGGGATGGGCAAACCGCTCAGCTCTGGCTGTGAAAACAAAGAACTCGTACTTCCTTCCTTTCTATTCTCTCGTTCTGTTCCCCCTTTCAATCAAGAATCCAACACTCGCACTAGTTCTACAGTACATCTGTGAACAGCTGCATCGCCACAGCTATTCACCCCAGGTCAAACTAAAAGGCATTAGTTGGTGCGGTTCTTACACACCACATTCCCCATAAAGGATCACAAAGGGAAGCACTGAGCACTTTCTCTTCTGTCTTAAATGGTTTTTCCCATGGTTATTGGTCTTTCACACCTGTTCATGTAAAAAGAAACCACAGCCCTCCCCTACAAAATCAAGACAGAGAATTTTGAGCATTTATAACAATTGTTATCAGCAGGGATGGGTACCGAAACCCGGTATTTAATCGGTCCCGGGGCTAAATTATGAAAGACCGGAGTATCGATAAGCTCTGACGTTAACGGTTCTGCTATCGGTACTGGAGAAATTAATAAAACACACATACATTTATTATTGCTATATATACATTATCTTGCAAATTCTATCTCACCTTTATATTCTGAAATGTAAAATAAATATTTAATGAATGCACCAGTGTAAATTTGTAAATGCACCAGTGTGCAGGCATTTTAGTGTTTTATATACATAAGATATACAGGTGCATCTCAATAAATTTGAATTAGAAGTCGTGGAAAAGTTCATTTATTTCAGTAATTCAACTCAAATTGTGATTGTTTGATTAACGTTGATGGCCCAAGCGCCAGTCACTGCTGTCACTTTAAGACAATATATATTGACACACATCGGATTTTCTCCCAACTCTTCACGGCACGTCCACTTAAGACATAAACTCTGTTTAAGTGAACACTCTCCAAGCTGGCCATTTTGACATATTTTGTGTATATTTGATCGCTTGGACGTGCACCCAAAGCCCAAAGTGTAATTTGCTTGTCTAGTTGCGGTCCGTACTGGAGCGCACGCACACAATTCAGTCTGGGGAACAGTCTGCAGATTATTGTGCTTTCAACGTTTTATTATCAAACATGGCCCGCAAGCCCAAAGTGTAATTTGCTTGTCTAGTTGCGGCCCGTACTGGAGCGCACGCACACAATTCAGTCTGGGGAACAGTCTGCAGATTATTGTGCTTTCAACGTTTTATTATCAAACATGGCCCGCAATTTAGCAACAGTAAAGAAGGCATTTTACAACAATCACCGATTGTGCTGATTCTGACGTTACGTTTGGCTTTTTAGGGAGGAACGAATGCGCACCGCAGTTAAGGGAAGGAATTTGCGCTAGACGAAACGCGGCTAGTTTTTAATAGTTTTACCTCATATCGTCCTTTTTATAATCCTTAGAATCCAAAATCTAAATAAAAAATAAAATTAAGCTTAATATCACAGCCGCAGGCCTAAAGTCTAAGCAGACATTTGAATGTTTAGTTCTCTCCTCTATCATAATTAAACAGGGCTTTCATGTTGTGAGCGCTGTAGCTCCTCCGCATGAGTGTGATCTCACTTCTGAATTGCAAATAGCAAAAATGCAGCATAGACAAATGTCTGAATATTATTACATATAAAAACAGCTGGCGACTCTGGTGAAATAGAATTTCCAAGATAATGTCTATATAGCAATAACAAATGTATGTGTGTTTTCTTAATCTCTCCAGGACCGACGGCAGAATTGTTAACGTCAGAGCTTAGTTATACTCCGGTCTTTCATAATTTAGCCCTGGGGCCCATTTAATATCGAGTTTCGGTACCCATCCCTAGTTATCAGTAACTGAAATGAAAACTATTATTTGAATGGACAAATACATACAAAAGTATGACAAAATAATAATTATACGAAAAACTCCATCTCACTTTCACCTCCAACTTCAAAATCGTCCGACATTGTTGTTTTACCTTTTTTTGTAAATGGCATTTGACTTTTATTGCACGTTCGCTTTGTAAACACTGGGTCGGTACTTCCGCCTACGTCACACGTGACCTTAAGTCGAGCTAGTGCAAGACGAGCATTTGTGGTTAAAAAGTAGTCTGTATACATTTTTATTTTTTTAAGAAAATGACAGATCATTTCACTAGATAAGACCCTTATTCCTCAGCTGGGGTCGTGTAGAGCCCTTTAAAGCTGCATTGAAACGGCAATTTGGACCTTTAGCCTGTTGGCCACCATTTAAGTCAATTATATGGAGACAAATCCTGGAATGTTTTCCTCAAAAGCCTTAATTTCTTTGCGACTGAAGAAAGAAAGACAAGAACATCTTGGATGCCATGGGAGTAAATTATCAGAAATTTTTATTCTGGAAGTGAACGTCTCGGTTACGTATGTAACCCTCATTCCCTGAAGGAGGGAACGGAGACATTATGTCAGAGTGACTGACGAATTGGGATCTTCGCTAGAGAGACCAATCACCTTCGAGTGTTAACAAAACAAGCCAATAAGTGTTGGCGTGCGATCTTTGCCCTGCGGAAGCCGGCAAGTCCCCCCACACCAGTTGGGGCGGAAGATAGGACAGGGCTTAGGCAGAGGTGTCCGCCACTGCTGTTCCATACAGTGGTACATTGGATAACACTGGGAAAGCGTACCCAAGTAGGGGAACGCTACGGAAGCCACACCCTGCGTATAGGAGGTATCCTGTGGAATTACACATATGGACTGGCCAAGGGCAGTGCTACATATGGAAGTCCCTGCGTTAGACTCAGCCTGCCTGGGGTGAGATACTACGCAGCAGGGATGGCAGAGAAATCTCTGTTAGGGAAAGACACGGGCTTACTGTGAGGGAAGCCGTACCGTGGAAGAATACACATGTGGGATGACCCGAAGGGGAATCACTACACACGGGCACCTAGCCCAGCACAAGGGCTGACCTTGGGTATACACACGAGTGCTGGACCTGGCGTCTGGCACTCCGCCATGCCTGACCACCAAGGGTGCGGGAGGAACTTCAACTGGGTTCACCAAAGGGGAAACGGAACTGAGAAGTACTTAAGCGCACGTATCCGGTCCTTAGAGGGGAATGGCGCAGCAAGTGTGATGGACACCGAGCAGGTCCGGTGTTACTGACCATCCGAGGAAAGTACACGAGAGGACACGGGCTATACATGGAGATTATAGAATCTCGCAAACGTGTTAGGTGTCGCCCAGCCGGCAGCTCTATAGATGTCTGCTATCGAGGCGCCCCGCGCCAATGCCCAAGAAGACAATGCTCTCACTCCGAGGGGGCAAGGTAAACGTTGGGCCTGGTATGCCAAGACTATAGCCTCCACTATCCAGTGGGCAAGTCTTTGTTTGGAGACAGCCTTTCCCTTCTGCTGTCCTCCGAAGCAGACAAAGAGATGGTCTAAGGTCCTGAAGCTCTGCGTACGGTCCACGTAAATGTGCAAAGCGCGAACGGGACAGAGCAGAGCAATGGCTGGGTCTGCCTCCTCCCGGGGCAGCGCTTGCAAGTTCACCACCTGATCCCTGAAAGGCGTGGTGGGAACTTTGGGCACATATCCAGGCCGGGGTCTCAGGACAACGTGGGAGTCGACCAGCCCGAATTCAAGGCACGAATCGTCAACCGAAAATGCCTGCAGGTTCCCGACCCTCTTGACTGAAGCCAATGCAGTGAGCCCTAAGGAACCTGATGATCAAGTCGTGTTTCCCCACAGACTTGCCGCCTACTGCATCATGATGTGCGGCGATAGCGGCGACATACACTTTGAGGGTGGAGGGAGACAGCCTTCGCTCCCGCCCTTCTTGCAGAAAGGAGAGCACGACCGCGATCGGGCATCTACGGGGGTCTTCCCGCCGGGAAGAACACCAATCGACGAACAGGTTCCACTTCAGCGCGTAGGTGTGCCTCGTAGAGGGCGCTCTAGCTGACGTGATGGTGTTAACTACCGCTGGGGGCAGGTCACCTAGAACCTCCGCGTCCCGTCCAGAGACCACACGTGGAGATTCCACAGGTCCAGGCGCAGGTGCCAGAGGGTGCCCCCTCTCTGAGAAAGGAGATCCTTCCTCGGAGGAATACGCCAAGGAGGGGCTGTCGCGAGGAGCATTAGTTCTGGGAACCAAGTCCGACTGGGCCAGTACGGCGCTACTAAGAGGACCTGCTCCTCGTCCTCCTTGACCTTGCACAACTGTCCGGGGAGGCAAA